CACCACACCACACTAAAGCACACCACACTACACCACATCACAAGAACACCACACCACACCACACCACACCACATCACAAGAACACCACACCACACTAAAGCGCACCACACCACACCACATCACAAGAACACCACACCACACCACACTACACCACACTACACCACACCACATCACAAGAACACCACACCACACTAAAGCACACCTCACTACAACACACGACACGCCAAACTGCACTAGACTTTACCCCTCCCCATCACCTAGTTACACTAGAAATATGCTTGCATTATGAAGTGTTGACTCAATCAAGACTTTATGGCGGGTAAAAGGTTCATGACCCTTATCGTGTGGTCAGCTGTCGATACTGCACGACATACCATGCCGTAGGCAACAATCACGGGTTCACAGCGAATACTCTGTGCATCATTCAACACAATGTCATCATTATCACTTGTTTACTACATCARGTAGAGCTTAGAATGAATAGCGTACTACCGTCTGTGTGGCTGASGACAATCAAGGCTAGCAACCAATGGACCTGAATGGATTTTTCCGCCATCGAAACGGTTTGCATTGAAGGTAAGACGGTTAAGACAAAAGTAAAATGTACTGTAATTGCTTGTAATAATTTCATTGTTAAGTTAATCGATCCTGAATGAGACCACAAGTCTACATGTCTTCCTATGTCGGTCTGCATGTACGATGAAGGCTAGCATGTTCAGTCCATAGTTTAAGAAGCTCAAGATATCATCCTTGGCAAGTGGGTTTTTTGAGGCTCGATCAACAATATCATTTTAGTATATACTGGCTGATCTGAATACAAAGACAGTTTTATTTGGTCATAAGTTGGACAAATAGGTCAGTATTTAAAATCAGCCTTGCTACGCCTCGAAAAACCTCGCCAATACTTTAGCTATCAARGACGAAAAAGATCAAAAATGGAATGAATAAGAATTTGATGACATGGTCAAGAATATTCCATGCTTGAGGCATATATGACGGGAGGGCTACATCAATTAGAGCACATGACCAAGGATATGAGCATAATAGGGTGGGTTTGATGAATTATGGATTTTAACCTATTTATATAGCATTGAACAGTGCCGTAAAAATTRAAAATCATCTGTCATAGGCAGCTTATGCACTGGCGCATTGAAAAAAATGCTTGATGACTTTTTAGCTCCATAAATGGTAAGCCACTTGAACTTAATTTTCATAGAAATTTTCCATGAATATTTTAACTAAAAATCATAAACAATGATTTTAGTACATTTTTGTACGTAAACTTTGTACACGTATGCCAAATTTGCCCGAGGTTCGGAAACCAGGGCTTGACAAGTCAAGTTTTTGTGACGTAAAGAGGTATTTAGTGGCTAGTCGAAGTGAGTATGTCTGTGCATACCGGGAAAGTCAGGTCAACGATGCTCAACCATAAAGCCATTAGTACATGTATCTGATAAACATTCACAGAAACAACTGATTTCCGTCACAAACCATTGAGCAAAATAGCCACAAAAAGCTATCAATACAAACCATTCTGCAGCAAGGATTCCATGTGGATATAACAGAGCTTAATACGGTGAAATAATTGGATCAAACTGCGAGTTAAATACCGTTGATCGATAGTCCTTCCCGAAACAACTACGAATGAAAAAACTGTAAGTACAAACGTCTTTAAAATCATTCAGATCTTTATAGAATTATTATTATTATTATTGACAAGGAATTTGTGGTTACTGAACATAACTTTAGTAGMTGTAAGTCTTCTTAATTTTCGATTTTTATTGATTTTATTGGTTGGCGATGATAAACAAAAGTAACCCTTAGTCGTATTGGTAGTTGTATRAACTCACGAAATCATAGAACAAAYTTTATCGTATAGAAATTGCCATAATCCTCATTCATAACTGGTTAATCTGCTCGATTGTTCTCGTCAATTGAACAGCTTTGCAGAAAAAATGCTTACATTTATAAGCTAGAGTTTTGGGTTTGCTTATTGGTAACGATACTAAGAAAAAACAGCTTAACGAAGACTTTTCTTTACATAAATATGTAATACGAAGCTGTTCTTTTTCAAGCTTCCTACGAAATTTAACATGCAACTCTATGTCGATGGCAATTTAAAATCTTTTTCTAGAAAACTCTCGCTCAAAAACGTCAAGATCAAGATTATTTTCAAGGAATTTTAGATTTATTTTCTGATAAGAGTAGAAAGCACTCACTTTTATGGATGACGTGAATGGTGAAGTGTTAAGAGTGTAATAGCCGTTAGCGTCATAGCGTAGGATTGTTGAACGTTGAGTGAAAGATTGGATCACTGAGTATGCCTAGGTAGATGGGTTATTGGATGTCTTTATTCTGGGGAAGGGGAGCAAGATAAGGGAGGGAAAAGAAAAATGGAAAAGAGGAAAGGAAAGAAAGGAGGAATGGGAAAGACGCACAGTGTGAAAGAAGGAGAAGGGGAAAGAAGGAAATAGAAAAGAATGGAAAAAATTGAAAAGAAAGGAAAVGTAATCAAGGTAAGAAAGAAGGAAGAAAAAGAAAGGAAAGGAAGATATATATACATATATATATAAAGATAAAAGAAGAAGAAAAAAAAAAAAAAAAAAAAAAAAAAAAAAAAAAAAAAAAAAAAAAAAAAAAAAAAAAAAAAAAAAAAAGAAAAAGAAAGAAAGAAAGAAAAGAAACTAAGATTTGAGAAAAGAAAAACAGTTAAACGTATCGTGTGTATTCTACGCGAGTCACGACAGGCAATGAATCAATCATTAATCTATTCCTGATCTCATAAAAAGTATTCTTATTTATAGCCTTTAGTTAGAACAAGCAATAAGTGCGGTAATTAAAACACTCGTACAGGACTTGAATGGTTTACAAGGTTATCTTATGGTCACATACTAAGAACTGTATTATACTGATGATTTATCTTGTTTGGGACGCTATAGATTAGCGCTTTGTTAATATATATATTCTCTACTTTCACATCCCCATAACACTTTGCGTCTTTGGGGGGTAACCAGAGGGTAAAAACGCACTTATTTTGCTGAAGGCTGATCAGACAATGTTGAAAATACCTCCAAAGATAAAATGAAGAAGTAAAAAACAGAAAAAGATAGAAGCTTGAAGACGTTTAAGGTAAATTTTAAACATTTTTTCGTAAGTCAAYACATTTTCTGTAAGACCAAAACTCTYCATGATCTGTACACGCAAAAAWAACTTGGAATAAACTGATAATCAGTATTGTACAGATAAAAGCAGGTATAGTATACATTCAATGAAGAAACTTTCAATTTGGGACAGTTTTTTGATTGWTTACCTCCCAAAAACGCAAGGCATTATGGGGATGTGAAAGTCGAGAATACACAAAAATGGACCTATTTGCTTTATACAATAGCGTACACTGTGAGAGTTTTTTTWAAAAAAACCATGTATGGCGCGCGTATCGAAGCGTTTATTCTAAAATGCTCTGGCATAAATATATATAATCTATGGACTTATTTGTTTTGTACATATCGTGCTCTGTTTTCTGGGAGCGCACATATTCCAACCAATCATGGCGCGTGTAGCGAGATTTTCATTAATAATGTTTTGGCATGACTGATATACACAATCTATGRACCTATCTGTTTTGTGCGTTTCGTGCTCTGTTCTCTAATGAGAGAGCATGCGCACATATTCGAACCAATCATGGCGCGCATAGCGAGGTGACTATAACTGATAACATATATTACAGTGCTATTCTCCAGTAATGCTTGGGTTATTGGCCTTTCCACTACAAACAGTTTATCTTAACGATCTGAAAGAGATGCGTATGTACACGTAGAAGCCTGGAAAGTTTAATTCTAGGTTATGACCTATAAATAGAGCTATCAGTCTTATCAGATGCGTCTTGTAAATGAGAACGGATGATATTTAGAGGTCTAATGTAATAAACAGCTGTAGTTCGGAGTCTTGTCAGTGCAAGAGAATCAAAATTTTGCAAATCTTACCTTACGTAAAGCGCAGTGTACTTTAGCTTAACCGTAGTAAATGTTGATTAGATAAAGCGAGCGCAATCAATGGAAAGTCATTTTAGTGGCTTATGATACAAGTGTTTAGTTTGTGCTGTGCGTTTCCCACTCATAYGAAAAGCATTCTTATTGGAAGCCATTTCAAAGTTACGGCATAAAGTAACGTGCAAGTGCTGCAAGTAAGTGTCGTACTTTCACCACTCATACAAAAGCCGCTCTTTTATAATGAGGCTAAAGTAAGTCGGCGCACAAATCCTTCTTCTACAAAGGCAATAGTTATAGCCGGTTATTACACCTATGCTGGTCTGCAATATTGCACAAGACATGCTTGACTCCTAAYATACCCGGGAAATTATGTATACCTATGATCACGTGGTATCTTTACCTTTATCATTAACTCTTTCACATGCCTCAACACGAAAAAAATTAACAAAAAGAAGGGGGAAAAAATTACATTTACATTTACATGTAAAAAATTTTAACGCCAAGAAATAATCTAAGAAAAGAGATTTGCTTAACCTTATCAGCTTGATAACAGCTTACGAAAATTAATTCCTACTTATTTGTTGACACAGGAGAAAAAATGTAGTTCAGAAGATGACCCGATGAGCTTGAATATCTTGTTCTACAGATCGAATAATAATTAACAAGTAAAAAAAWATATATTTTCATTCATAATCCGTCTCAAAAACTATTGTTGTTTCAGTGTTTGTGATTTGAGCAGAATAGCTAGGCGTATTTTAACCCCAGGTCAGGTTTATTTTAACATCCAAAGAGTTCCTCTTTGAATTTTCATTGTCGTATTTCATTATATCACGTTTGTGGTCCAAGGTCTTCAAAACAAAGTCCTTCAGATTTCTGAACTTTTAGACGAAAACTACGAACCTAAAATCTCGAAGAGAAAAACACTGTTCAAAACATCCTTGTAAAAGACTTCGTTCTTATACGTATAGTCCTTAAACGTAAGCTTGTTGAATAGTGTTTTAAGCCTCATGATTCTCTGTGTCTCTTTCAATACAGGGGATAATCATACCAAGCTAAGCCGTCTTGGCCGTGCTCCGCCCAGCCACGTGACAAGCCGACTCTAAAATTAAAGCTCACSGGAGTTCAAAACTAAAAGAGGTCAAGAAATAGTACAACTTCGTTTCCTTATTGGTTGTCGAGTAACACAGACGTGATCTTATTGACTTTAATACGAACAAAAGTAAAATCAATTTGAAAAGTTTCTAGTGCTTTTTTAGGGAGGTATTGTTCAGTAATGGCGTCAGAACTGTCACCTCCAACTACTCCTCGACATTTTCTTCGTCGGAGATCTTATTCCTTCGACTCCGCAGAGCTTGAAATCAAAAGACTCTCAAAAACGAATAACCTCGAAATCTCAGCTCTTCAGTCTCTTGCGTCAAGGCGTTTGCTCTTGGAAGACCGAGAGAATCCTCGGTCAGGTTTTTTTTACGAGCTGAATGAAACTGATGTGACATCAACGTTGGAGACAGAACAACAAAAACTCAAGAAATACTCYGAAGAAATCATCGCTACTGTGCTGTTGGAGAGCCTGACAAAAGGGCGTTATGATCCAGCTCTCTGTTCTGAACAAGCTCTTTCTATCAGTAAGAAAATTGAAGACCAAATGAGACAAAAGATTTTAAAGGAAGATCAAAAAGTTCTGGCAGTTGTGTACATCGGGGAAGCCCGTCAGCAAGGAATTCAGATATCTAGTCAATGTATATGGGATCTGCAGAAAGACTTCATGGCGTCGGCTAGTTTCTCTGTAAATGATATTTTTGCTGTTTGTTATGTTTTTGTCTTGTTATAAGAACGAGTACCACGTGCGCAACTCTCGTTCTATGCGCGCTAATACCAGTTTGTTGTGCGCAGTGCTAGTCCTTGTGTAAACTGACTTGCGTCAAACTCGATTTGTGTTGAACTTCCTGCCTCGAAGAACTCTGGGTACGAGACTGCCTGCAAGTTATCTTCGTAGCTTTTGCGCAGCTCTCGTCAATGAGACGGTCGTCGAATGCATTTCGAACGTAATTATTTAGTTCGAATTAAATCAGTTTTTAAGACATACAACGGTAGTTTTTCGAAAAGCAAGAAAAAAATTTAAATGTTGCAAAGATCCGGGAAAATTTTCGTGTTTTTAACCGCAGCTAATGCGTGGCATGATCACATCCTATACAACGCGGATGTTGTCAGAAAAAATCTATCCTATCATTGCGTGGGTGTTCTATATTAACATGAGAGAGACCAAAGGTAACATAGATGAAATGCTGGATTGTGTTCTGGAATGCGGTAATAAACGATAGACTAGTGTATAACTGATTAAGACCATTGAACCACTAGAACAGAGTAAGGAAGTATGAAGGTTGATCTACATGCGGTACGATATATTTTCTCATAACTGTCGCACGCGACATGTTCACGGCAAGAATTGCTTAGTGTAAATCGACTGTTGACTTGCTTACTAGTCTATTAAAATGGCCGCTAAAAYTTATCGCGACAGYTGTGAGGAAAAATCKTACCGTGTAAATCAGCCTTGAGAAAAGCAGTTGTTAGAGACGTGCCGTACTCTTCATGAMTATTTTGATTGGTTAATCTCGCACGCTGTGATTGGTCCATTCCAACAGTTTTCATCAACTCGGTACCATGACCGTGACACGTGCACTAGAGCAGCTTTTGTAATGACTATGAAAAGAGTAGTGCCGTAATCTTGCCTTGCCGCGACGCTTTCTAGAATTGTTTTCTAGCGCAATGTGATTGGTCTGGTAGTCAATCCGTGATCTTGGCGTGACCGTATACGCGCCATGTTCTGGGTATTTGATTGGATGCAGAGTAAATACTCGCGCAATGTGATTGGTCTTGCGTATGTCTTGCCGTGTCACGTCCGTGTTCGTGCCGCGAGCTTTTCACAGTCATACGAAAARTGCTCCAGTCTTCAGTCCTGCGATCTTTGTCTACAGTGCGCGCTCGAATCAGAACATATTAATTATTATCAACCTGTGTGATATGTGGGGTAATATTTTAGTAACGCAACTGGTGTGTGTCACGCAAATCTTATAGGCTAAAATTATAAAGCGTTGATGGAATATCAAACAGCACAAAGTATTTTACATTGATGCTATTGTSAATGTAAAATCTTATAGTCATCACATATCAATGTAGGAGAACAATTAAAACTAATTAAAAAATAATTTTTGTAAAAAGAAAAAAATTACAAAATTTGTTAAACCAACGTGTTATTAACACAAACTTAGACAAAAATCAAACAGATCTTTCGGCATTCAATCTGGAACAACGATCTCAAAAATTTCATTTTTTAGGGCGAAAAAGGAAGCATAAGAAAAAAGTTTAGCAAGTTCAGCTGCAATTACCACCAAGACAAAAAACAGTCAAATCCGAGAGGAAATTTTGATCTTATTTCTTGACAAATACTAAGCAATAAAGAAAACTTGAAAAACGACATTTGTAAGCCAGCTTGAACAAGTTACAAGGCAATTAATATAACGACAAACTGTATGTGAAGAGAATGATTATGACAATGATTATCATCCTGTAAATGACTTTCAAGTGGTTTTAAACAAAGAGGACAGAATTATCATCTATCTAGTGRCAATAACTTGTGGGAACGAAATATCTTAAACTATTGTTGACTCGAGAGATGAGATAAGACAAAAGTTCTGTTTATCTGGGTCTGGAATCGGTCCTGTGAGGAGGGAATAGCTATTGATGGCTGTCAAAGACGTAATGAAAGGCTACTACATCCGATTTGTTTGTGATAAACAAGATCATTGGGCAGCGAGAAAGTGTTGTATGAAGAAGGAATAATGATGAAATGATAAGTTAGTGCGAACGTTTTGTTGTATCTCGTCCTTACGATGTGGGATAAAAAGAAAAAAATCTAATAATTTGTGTTTTATATTCTTGAAGATAGAAACGAGATGACCTAGCATAAAGAAAATAACAAGGAATGAATACCTAAGGGAAGGATTTTTCGCCAATCTTAGTAGGAAAGAAAGAAGACAGTTGAAGTTGGCCTAAAGTAACATGATAATACAAACTTATATTAATTAAAAAGCGGAATAAATAATAAAAGGAAAAGGAAAAGAAGAAAGAAGAAGAGAAAGAAAGAGAGAGAAAGAGATGAAGAAGAAAAAATCGAAAAAAAAGGCAGAGAGAATCGAGAAAACTCTTAAATGGATGTGTTTTTGAATAAGTAAAGATCTTTTGTCAATGTTTTTCGTTATACTTAAACAGATGAAGGAGATAACATTAGAAGAGTAAACTAATAAACCAAACAGCACGATACATCCTGACAGACTTCAAAGGTTCGTTGGTTGGTTCAAGGACTTCTAAAAAAAAATAAAACACTGCTAAAAACAACCCAAATTTTTCAGAATTATAAAAAATACTTTGATACAAGATGGTAAAATAATAACGATTTTTGCTATTTTCCCCCCACTTAATAATTAAATTATAACACTCGACAAATAGACCAAGGGCCGAATTCTTGTTTAGTAAGAGCGTTGAATCGAAAACGTTTTTCGCAAATTTATCAATTAGTTAAGTCATAGCAATAACCTTAGAAGTACAATTTACCGCTCATAAAACGCGAGATAAAATGGCTTGGTTCCCACGGTTTTAACACCTCGCAGAGAACTTAAGACGAAACGTGCAGGATGAACGAATCGAGGAATGAGAGGAGAACGGCTTTCAAAAAAATAATTATTAAGTTAACATTCCCCCCCCCCCCAAAATTAAAATAAAAATAAAAATAAAAATAATAAATATAATAAAACAAAGACTGTTTGGGGCCGTTTTTGRAGATCAGAATAATATATTTTTGCAATTTTTAAATCGTATCTAACATAGTTTATCATTGAGTCACTCAAACGTGGATACCACCGACGCATACGTAGCGCGCTSAAAATGTCCAGGCGCTGAAAATGGACTGATTCTAAAGAAAATAATAGCAATGGCATTTTGATAGATGATCATTTCAGGCGGCAAAATCTACGAGGCCGTAGAAAAACAGAAAATAAAACCCCATTAATGAGGGGAAGTAGGGATAATWTCGCTTTATAAAAACAAGGCAAGAGTAACGGATACTCTAAGATATACTGAAGTAATTTCTCATAATTACTCTTCGATGTTCTAACTCAAGCATATATTGATTTGATGCCGCGCGCGCGCCGATTTGAAATTCATTTCATAAATAAACTTCAAAGAAAAATAGCACAAAGATTCGTTTTTTTAACGCTAAGAATAGCAATGACTCCCTAGTTCATTTAATGAGTTTTTGGGAGGATAAAAAGGCAGTAAAATGGAAAGAGATTAGTTAACGGTCTTTGGTTATGCTAACAAAGAAAAACATAGAGTCTGATAAGTTTTTCTTTGCATTATCGCTTGGGTCCGTGAGAAAAATCAATCTTCTCCCACATGGATTATTGATTGCGAGGTTTACGCAACTCTAGCCCCCTGCAGGCTATGGAAGTTCGAACAGCGACTCATATTGTACATTATATGCGCTAAGACGATTAGGATTGTTTTTGAACGGGCCTACTGTACYTCACAAACAAAACTCATCCGAGACACCGGATTTTCCGAGACATGATACAAATCTCTTTCTGTAATTCATAAATAAGTCCAAACTTTCTGTAATTAAAAGTTTTCAACAGAGCATTTGGTAAACATCTTCCAAGGTCCAAAGCTATTTGTAAAACTGTGAACAAACTGAAGAGGCTGGAGAAACATGTGTTATTGTGATTGATTGAGTCGAACAATACGTCATTTCAGTGATGAATGAAAACGAAAACCTGATGATTACATGTTTTGCTTTGGTTGATTGTTCTTCTGTTTCTTTGTATTTCTTTCGGTGCCTTTTTGAGATAAGCATCTAGATTGGTTTCCTGAATAAAGGCAAATAAATGTTTTCTACAAATGACTAGTTATTCTTGACAGAATTTTCGTATACAAGGAATGAAAAAAACGTCTTCCGAAGTGAGAAAATTTGTTTCAAAACGCATGCCACTTTTTCTCGACTTCCCACGAATGCAAAAACAAAATGGTTCAATCCAAGCGCATGCAAAATGATGGAAATTCGCTTCAATAAAAGTCAATTGTATTATTCAATTTATTTTGGATTATCTAACATTAATTTACAAGTGTTTAGAGAGGAAATTCTGGGAATAATTCACCAAAAACCGAGCGAGTCAAGAACACAGTCGCTGGAGAGAATTRCAGCAAGTTCATTTCAACTATACAGAGATAAGAAATCAAGCTTCAAGTTCCAAACACGAAACATTTGTTCTTATTCCTTTGTTCTTAAACCAGCTGAATTGTATATATATAGATGAGCAATGACTTCAGTCTGTTAATTACAAGTGACTAGATTCTTTACCAACTCTATCATCGTCAAATATAAAAAGTTAGATGGGAATTATGACGGCAATTTGTTAAGTACCTTTTGAAGCCGTCATTTCATTGAAACTTCGATTCACAATAGATCKTTCAAAGTAGTAAATATTGAGTTAATAACATTGCCAATCTTAGCACACGCTTGCTTTGTTAGACAAGCTAAAGCCAAAGTCAACACAACTGATATATCGTTAAGCATTGATACAAACTTTAAATGCATATGACAGCTCTTTCCTTAGTAAACCCACAATAACTCGAGAGCTTTTTAATGGAAGTACACGGTGTTTAATGGCCTCGAGCAGTTTTTAGAGATATTCACATCAATCTCTAGAGGATAAATAGCCTTCCAGCTATAATAGTTAGAATCAATTCTACCAATGAATGTACGTAAAATTTGACGGATTTTCCGAGATTRACTTCAAGGCAAAATTAGCAACATTTCTTTAATAATTTTTGCGTTCATAAACAATCTTTTTTACAATTAAAGTCGATTATTTACTACCCATTTTGTAAAATCTAAGAAAAAATTTCAAGATCAAAAGAAAATATTAAAATAATTAATCTGATTGAAAAAGAGCAACAATATTCTTGAGAAAAAACTTGTTTGAGTTCACAGGTCCGTTAGTAATCCAAAAAAGATAAACTCAGTGGATAACCATTTTTATGGATAATATTCCAGAACTACAGTAGAATGTATATTAAAAAAAACCCTTTTTAAAAATATTTAAGCTATGTACGGAAAATCTATCAAGTAAATAAAGACAAACAAGCATAACTGTATTTATAATTTTAATTTCAATCCCAAAACTCGGAAAAAAGATTATAATTGATTGAATGGTATCGGTAATTATAYATCTAAACGTCCTAAATAACATTCTTTCGCCAGTTACTCATAACTTAATTCGATTGGTAAGTTGTTCTATTTACATGCTAAAGACTTTTAGCTTCCATTATAGTACAAGAAATAGTCTCCTAGAATAATGAAAATCTTGTGAAGAAAATACTCAATTATGACTGTGTTAAATAGTGTTGAGGTTTCAAAGAAATGTTCAAAATGGTATCAAAAGTTGCAATTGTCGCCACATTACTATTGGGTGCTAAATTGACAAACTTTGGGTAATTCAGTCAGTTTATCTTACTACATAGTTGCACTGTAAGCAATAGCCATGGCAAGGACTGACAGAACTATACGGACAAGGAGTCTCAGTGTTTCCACCTAAAGATGAGCCAAAATGGCYTCTAATGTTCGAGGTTGAAAGACCTGGAGAACGATGCTCCGAGTCTGTGGTCTTTAACATTTTTGTGTCCTCGTTATCCTTTCCCATGATACTCTCAATGGTGAATTTGGGCTTTTCTTTGTCTTTGGGTAACTCTGTTGGTCGAATAGGAGGAAGCCGTTGTAARGATGGTGTTTGGGGATAGTACCCATGTAAGTACGGTGATAATGCCGCTGCGTATGATGTCCCACACACAGGGGAACGCCAGAACAATGAATTACAATTCCAATAGTATTGCAGCCCGTAAGATCCTCCCAGACCATCCGGTGGCTTCGGCCTCTTGAATCGTTTTCGTCTTCTCAAGAAACTGCCATTGTCAAACATTCCCTCACTGGCTGGATCCAGCGTCCAGTAATTGCCTTTCCCGGGGTTGCCAGGTTCTCGAGGCATCTTCACGAAGCAGTCATTTAGAGACAAGTTGTGTCTGATGGAGTTCTGCCATGATGGGAATTTCTCCCTGTAGTATGGAAAACGACGTTTTATAAAGTCACATATATCGCTTAGAGTGAGTTTCCGTTGAGGGGACTGTAATATTGACATCGTTATCAAGGCGATGTAGGAATATGGCGGTTTGGAAACACTCGTTCCTGGCCGCTTTGTCTCGCTATTTTCCGCTTTTATCGATTCAGAACTTTCCGTAATATCTTCTTCCTCCTCTGTTATTCCAGGTTCTTCGGAGTCGTTATCGTCTGTGTCGAACGGTTCAAGCCTCGTTAAACATGGATTTTTACCTTCGTCGTTTTGTGCGGACATGATATCGTTCTCCTCCTTGCACRCCGTTCTAYGGATGTCAAAATCCTCGGTCGTCATRATAATGTTTCTTCGTGAAATTCCTTCGATAAATATCGTTAGATTGTCTTATTACATTGAACAGAGCCAAGAGATATACAAGAGATGTTGTCAGTGTCCGGGCTGTTGAGTTGTGATCAGTCGATTCTGCCGACGTGCTTTTTATACTGTTGTTTGAATTCGTTAAGCGCCACACAGCCCACCCACTAAGAAAGGCGCGCCTTAAAAACAACTTATGAACCCTGAGGCATTGCAGATTTATTCTCGCATTAACATGAAGAAGCTTGATGGTTTTGCATCGTATCATGTAATTAGCTTATTATACTGATGTGTATTATAATTAGGACCTATCAAAACTTTTAGAACGCTTGGTCAACTTAAACAGGATCGCGACAGGGGGAGGAACCTCACGCCGAATGTAAGAATCGATTCGTACAGCCTTAAGGAAAAGACGTTTTGTTCATTTTTGACAGCCACACACGCGCGGTAATTACCGTCCCAAGATCGCAAGCTTTGTGTTGTTTGTTACAGATAGGTATTTGGTTTCGCAGTAAAGTTAATGGGATCGACAAACTATGGAAAATGACTTACAGATGGTGGCTATTTACCTAAATCAATGGCAAGTAGCACTAGGATAGGAAGTGAGAGGCAATGTAGCATCCCGTAGGGAACTATAGGAAATACGCAGTAAGAGCTAAATCGGCTCGTTTATTGCTACATTACAATCCATTGGGTTAGAAATTTTGAATGAACATTCGCAAAAACAATTTCGCTGACACATAAATTACCAATGAATTTGATGGAATGAAAATATTAACGAATGAAAATATTAACGAAAGAAAATAAAACCTTAGTGGAACTAAATAAATTAAAAGTTCAGTGTTTGGGGCGCAAAACTTTTCGTCTCGGGAAACTATACCCTAGAGAAATGATTCCCTAAAACGAAAATGAAAGACAGCAATGCCATTAAATAAGAATGTGCTAAATTTAAACGCTAAAAAATCGCTAAAATTTCATGTTCTTGTTAAACCTAGTATCTATTTTAAGCTATTATGGAATTAACTCTGACGACGAGCAAGCAAAGCTAGTCTAATAACCAAATAAAGTTAGCAATTTTGAAAGTCAATTTCTTTGTCTTTTTACAATTAACTATAATTACGAGTGCTATTCTCACTCTTGATCACTGTAGATCCTAGAATCAGAACTAAAGACATTACCCTCTTGATTAATTAAGARATGGGCTAACTATATCATAGTCTTAGGGCACGATAATAAATCAAATATTAAAGAAGAGAATATGTTTTTAAAGGCAATAATCTGGTGGGATTTTCAAGATGTCGTGAAGATGGAGTCTTGGTTGTGATTTTTAGTGACGGCAGTTTGGTTAAGGTTAAGTGTCTTAGGTGTTTATTCGGAGGAGAAGAGAAAGGAAATGTTAGAAGAAAGAAGAGAAACGAAAAAGAAGCAAGTAGAAAAATAGCAAAAATGAGAAATATTGCATTGATCGAGAAGGCTATGAATGCACAAGAAATGAAAAGTGATAAAAAAGAAATTTATATTCAAGATGGAAAAGTGTAAATTCCAAACTCTTTATAAGAATGAAAGAAAAAGGAGAAAAATAAAAGGATTGGAGGCGGAAAACGAGAGAGAGAGAGAGAGAGAGAGAGAGAAAGAAAAGAGCGCTTCACAAGACAACAACAGTTTTCGTTTGGTTATAGTGGTGATAAAGTTTTCATTGGCTCAAATAACTCGTAAGATATGGAAATACTAAACTACCAAGAAGAATGTTATTTTACCATCGACCTTAAGCTCTTGTAAAGCTTAGTAACTGCTTATTTTGTCCCCCAGAAGAGCAAATAAACACAAGCATATGGAATATTATCATAAAATCCATCGATTAACCGCGATGACAAATGGACGAAGGAAACGATCCGAGACAAAAATACCAAAAAAATCCGTCCGAAAACTATTAAATCCGTCTGCGGACTTCTCAATCTAYGTATCGCATTTCGCTACTTTCTAAAGCTTTGAAATGATATCTTAGATGTGTTACAAAAGAAAAACCGGTTTAGGGGAAGAAGCGATTTTCTCTTGAGCGGAAACCAGTTGTAATTGCCGTGGTTATACGATCATGTTACATCAGGTAGGTAAGTGGTGTAGCTTGGCTATCATATTATGAACTAGTGTAACAATGTAGTATCATTGACGTTATGCAAATAGAGTTAGAAGACTTATATCTGATTTTAAACACAAAGTTGTATGAGAGCTTAATTAGGAATATCATTCCTATATTTCGAGATAAGGTATCGCGATGATCTGCAAGCCTACATGCCGAATGGAAAAAACTATTCTTCATGCCTGGAGCAAATTGTCCTTTTAAGCAAATCCCAAAGCGAAGAAGACCTAATCAGTAGGATTTACACGAAAAAATCCTAAAAAACAAGCATCAATTTAAAAAAAGTAGAAATTTACAGAATCGTTGATTGTGAGTCGTTTACTAATGGTAATATGTGAACTACTTGCTGAAAGAAATTCAGTCCATTTATTTTATTTTACTTTTTAGCAAGCTGTCAGTCCTTACGCACGAAGGTTTTGCCAAATCAGAATATAATAATCGCTCTGATATCGACGTTTACCATCTTTTCGGCTACTTTGCCTTATTAATGTTAACTATATGTGAAAGGATTGAAAAAAGAAACCGCCCTAAACAAACTAGATGATAGTCTGAAAAGATTTGAAATTGATAAAGCAAGAAGTACAAAATGACCGTTTTTATTGACTTTTCTTTTCTACAAAACCATTAATTATTATTTCAAATGAATTGTTTTCTTGAATTTAAAAACAGAGGGAACATTTATCGCTAAAAATGCGAATAATTATGATAATTTGTTCCCAGAAAGTCGCCAAATGGTGATACAAATTCAGTGCCGATGTTTGAAATCTTCACAAAATGTCTTTCACATTATGTCAACGACAGTTTCTTCGTATACAATTTACTTTTAACCAGAGACAGGAATCCTAATCAATATTTTCCATTCTGCTACATACATTTAAAATGACATCTTACATTTCAAAAACAAAAATAATGATTAGGCAAGAGGCGAAAACGAATAGTTTGAGTTTACGGGTTGGCTCTCACAAACGTTTCGTAGCTTTGTGGTTAAAGATCTACAACCCGCTTGATTCAAAAATGGCTCTACTATATCAAAATCCTACTTGAAATTACCTCGATCATTAGCTCAAGTGTTCATATTGAAAACCTTTGTCGAGAAGGATATTGAAAAATTACTTAATACATAATTCGCGTGGTTTTACGCGCGAAACTTCAGAGTGATTAASGAGTCAAGTGTAAAAACAATTCAAAAGGCGGGAAAAAAATACAAAAAACATTATGAAATTATTACTTCGCGTTTGAAATTAAACGAAGAAATTTATTCATAAAGAAGTAAGAACGCGAACGAATACTTAAAAGAAAACAAATTCTACTAATTGAATACGTTTTTTAAATAGTTTTCGGGCGAGATTGTTTTGGAAGAGGAGAGATTTGTTAGGGGTTTTTATTTTCAGCACGCGAGCGAACAGCATAAGATCACTGTATTCTCATTTCATTTCATTATGTCTAATATAAAAACAATAAAAATGACACACTTTATCGAGGATTAGTCCCGCCGAGGGATAATCAATTCTCCAGCGAACGACAGAGCTTTAATAAAGAATTAAACTCAAAACAAAAGCGTTTTGTAGTCAACTTTTTTTTACAGTGAAAGGACGCACAAACTGAATTGAATGAACTGAATATCATTTTCTATCTACTAAAGCGATGGTGTAAAAATAATTATAAATTTTATCTCTAAAATTATAGCAAAATGTTTATCATTTAGGTTCACAAGCTGAAATAATAAGAGACACCATTGAAATAGTTTTTGTCGTATTAAAAACGTTCTTGAGATTGAGTAGAAATTAGAAATTGAAATGAGGGAACCTTATGATGAAATTTTGAGGAAATTTGAAGTTTAGGATGACTTTAAAAAAAGAGGATTATTAAGAATTGGTTGCTATATTGAAGAGAATAGAATCAAAGTGATATAATACAAAGAACCATCTGTATTCTCCAACACTAATTTCTACTKGTATAAAAGAAGTTACAACTAAAATAGAATCGCTTCTTTCTTTTGTCTACAAGACGCCCTGTTGCTCTTAAACCCGAACCGAAAAACCCATCACAAATAGAAACTAAAAAAGGGTCGAATAAACGATATTCCTGTGAAGAAAAATTCAAAAGAATAGATCTTTAATGAATTAACTTTAGTTAAACATCGTATATAGCCGTCGTTTTAAGTCCCTAAGTCTTTATTGACAGAGAACTTGAGTGATATTGCGTTTGCTTAGCGTGGAGACAATTGCTATATGTATTTGTTATACGCAAAAAAATTTCAAAATACGCTTGTTTTTCCCCCTGTAAATTGCTTTTTTTTCACGACATGGCCGGAAGTTAATATCCTTAGACTATATCATTTAAGAATCCAAAATTATAGCCTTTATTTCACATATGTACAACGGTAATTAAACCTTTAGTGTGAGGACAAACCATTTTGGCATGCAGCGGAAATGATATTTAACTGGACGTAATTTCACCTTGAATCGATTTTACTTCAGACTATCACCTGTTAAGCTTTAGAGCCGAGCTAGGGGATTTATTCATTGAGATTATTGCAATCAATTAATCAGCGACGTTTATTTTGTTTGGGAAATAATTATTTCTACAGTCGAAGGTAGAAATATCTCGATAAGTTAGTAAGAAAATATTAGTGTCGGAGTAAAACTTGTTTTTYTTATATGGAAAGTTAAGGATGAGAGAAAAAGACTGAAGTAAAAACCAGGTGAATCTTAGTAATTTTCTAGAAAGATTCTGGAAAGCATTGTACTGTCTTAGGAAGTCAGAATTATTCCTTACTGTAGCAAATGAATCGACAAGTTTGTATCCTGTTTGATCAATAATCTGTTTTTGTTAAAAAGAAGAATACAGCGCTGTGAAAAACGCCTACACACGAGCTTCTATTTTTATGCCTTTATTTCATAATAACCAGGTTGATGATCATTATAATTTGAAGCGCAACATTTGCTCAACAGTTAAGAGTATTACCTTCAAACACCATCATTCTCTAAACTAAGGAAATCTCTGAATAGTATGACTTAAAAAATGCAAAAAATTATAGATATCGAACAAGCTGTTTAACAAAACTACTTAGTATTAAGTATCGGAAGTCAGAAAATAATCAATATTGGTATCCTTAATTTTTGAGAACCGAGTTTTTAAGAATTTTGTTTATGACGTAGATTTTTTCGGGACTCCAAAGAGTGTCGAATACGTCGTCGTACTAAACGAGGAAGCAAAGTGCTTTACAGATTCTTTTTAACCATTGAAAGTCAATATAARAAAGGGAGAATTCTCGTGAAAAATTCATTTTGGGAATATCCTTAAGGACATAATCCAAAATACGAAAAAAGTGGTTAACATGTGTATTTCATTTTCTAAAGAAAACTTCGCTGGCAGACAGAGAGACTCTTCCTTGCTTTTTCAAAAGAGCCGTTGACTTTAATTATTTAAATATAGAAAAAAATTCATAAAAGTTTTGGATAAACATTGACAACTAAGACAAGAATAAAGATACTTCAAACAAAACTTTTGATTTTCAAAGAGAGTAAGTTTTCCTGTACTATATAAACTTTCTCTCAAAGTTTCATCACCTTCATAAGCAAACATTACTCGCTTTGATTATGAGAGGCTTTCTAAACAATTGAAATTGCACTTTTGAAAAGAAAAGCTTGAAGTGGCCAAGCTGTAAGAGAAGGAAGCAGTAAGCAAATACTTCAGCGTAAATTTGAAATCTGTTAAGTGTTCTAAACATTGTCTTTTGAATTAGAAACCTTCGACGACAGCAAGGTAAATAAAGCTTAGCTACAATGTGAGAATGACACACTAATGGATATGAAAATTCGGCAATAAAAGAGCGAATAAAAGCATAGAAATTGTTTGGTTTAAACAAAGCAACTTAAGTGACATCGTAACGACATTTTCGCAGTCGTGAAGTTGAGACAGAAAATACAAATTAAATGACTGCAACTTTTGAACTGCATAAAACAAACACTGACCAAATGAAAGCGTTCATCATTTGACATTTGGTTTGAAACAAAAGCTTCCAGTTCCTCAAGAAGAAGAAGAAGGAGAAATAAAAATAAATAAAAAAGAGGATACTTTTCTCAGAGTTCCCCTTTCAGCTAGTGACAAATGATAAACATTTCTATATTTCTTTCCTGGCTTATAAATTTTTCTTTAGAAACTGTTTTAGTTAATCTATGAAGAAAGACATGATTTTTGTGGGTGATTTTTAAAGTGAACACGAAAATAAAAATGGTTTATGCAATAAATAAAAGATAAATAAAATTATAGTAAAAAGAAGCAAACATTATAGGAAATGTTTTTAACTAAATGCACTGCTACATTATGTCTATTAAAAGGAAAAA